AGTCACTTCGGTTGTTAGCCCTTTTCCCTGCTCGCCTACATCGCTTTTAGTCTGATGTTTCCGGACTAGACGGGCGAGGTGGGGGATAGTTAACCCCGGCCCGGGGGGGAAGTGTGTTCTGCGGTGTGCTTTGGCATGTTTGGTGTTATTTGGTGGCGGCGGGGTCCGGTCCGGCTTGGGGGTGGGGGTGGGGGTGGGGGGTGATATCTTCCGAAGAGTGTTACGGAGGAGATATACCTACCTTCTTGCCCGAGTACCTCATGACCCTACACGCGCACGCGCGCGCATATGTATGTTTGTGTGCGTGTGTGTATGTGTGCTTACGTGTGTATTTGTCAAGTTACAGCTTACTGCGATTGAGACCGAGGTGGGGGGCAGTGAGACAGGTACTGCAGCGCATGTTGTAGGGTGCTCCGGGTATTCGGTGTCCACATACATACAGACATACGTACGTACGTACGTACGTACCGAGGGAGACCAGGTGTACATCTCCGCATGCAGCCCACTGGCGACATCCGGCAGTCGCCTTCTTCTTCTGGCATATCGCCGTGTTACACAGGTCAGGACAGGCCAGCCGACAGGACCGCAGATCGACCGCCGCCGCATCCTTACTTACTTCGCTCGCTCGCTCGTGCCCCGGAGAGCCCCCGGGGGGGCCGAAAGCAAAACACCAGAGGGGGCGCAGCACTGCACCACCTCTCAATCCTTGTCCACGCACTCTCACTTCACTAAACCTGTTGCGGCCCTCAGCACCTGTGTCCATCGTCGAAGCAACACATTCGCATCACGCAGCGCCCGACACGTGTGCCGAATAAATACAACTAGCCCTCTGAGGTCACGTAGCTCAGTTGTCATACGACAAAAATGTCGTGACATACTCGCCGGTGTATCGCCGGTAAGCCGGAAAAATAGACGCTGCCTCCCAAACGGGCTGACATGACAACGCGCAATTCAATGAACTGGAGCACTACGGTATTCAATACAGCCGCACGTCCCCCCCCCACCGCCACCGCCACCGCATCCGCCGAAGTAAGCTCCAGGAAGCAAAAGGCCAATACAGGCCCCCTCCCCTCAGGACCGACACGACGAGCTTCATGGCAATGCTAAGGACAGTCCCCCAAAAAAGCCCTTAAAGGGGGGGAAGGAAGGACAGCGCAGCACCGCAACTTAGGGAAAGGAACACAAAGGCGCGGATCGCCACCAGAATCGCCACTTTCACTGTGCAAGGTGATGTCAACGCAGGCCGCAATGACACACAGGCCCCTGCAGACACAGACAGCACCCTGAGCCACCGTCTGAGCTCCCACGAGTACCGCCGCTACCATTGCTGCTACTGCTGTAGCGAAAAGACAAGAACATAAGAACTGATTACGACTGCGTTCCGGACATTTTCTAACACCACCATCATCAACACCGCCAAGCGAGGCAGAGAGAGGCCTCAAAACAACGTCCAGTCAGTTTGTCAGTCAGTTTGTCAGTCAGTCCGGGACATTTCTTAAGCACATTGGGGGGTCCCCCCCGCGGCGGCCCATATCCCAGAGGCCTCCGGGGGTGTTTGGAAATGAGAGTGCGCAAATGCAACACAAATGCTCCACAACTGTAGAGGAGCTGCGGACGTACGGCCGCGGCACGTGGAGCCAACGGTATAGCCCCAACCGACATGGCGCGGACGAGAAATGCCGTACTGCTGCAACACTCCTCGAAACCGCACCAAAACGCTACAACAACTAACAGCCAACTGCCAGCCGCCAACAAGAACAGGAAAGCGAGTGCGAATATGAAGGTTGAGTGTGAAATATTTTGTTTGTCTGTGCAGGGGGCGAAGGAAGGGGCTGGAGGGGAGAAAGAGGGACTGCAAGACATGGTCAGTTCTCGTCATTACCCCGCAACGCAAAACCGGGTGGGGGTGTGTTGGTGCGCCCTGATCATGAAAGCTCTCTGAATACACAGCTCAGCTCCGGCTGTCCGCGGACAGCCGGAGCTCACATTGCTGTGGTGGTGATGGTGGTGGTCGTGGTGGTGATGGTGGTCCCGAAAATACGTTTAATATAATACTACTAATCCTGTGTGTGATCCATTCGGGGATTATAGAATTGGCTTTCACCACATCACGAAGCACCTCCCGAGGTATATCACATCGCAGTATCACAGTTACGTCAAACCCTCGAAACACAGATGCTCCTGTCATGTCGTACACTTGTGATGCAAATAATCCGCGTTATGTGTACTGAATGTACAGCATGTACGATCTTGCGGTAGTAATGGCGGCGACTCGGCAGTCACCGCACGACGGTCATTCGATCATTTGATTAGTCAATCGAGGATGAATCGCCCGACGAGCAGCCCTGTGGGCCTTGTATCCGCTCGCCCGCACACAACACCCACACCACCAGCGCCATGCGCCGCTCTTCAGACACACACACACCCCTATATACACACATACACGCACATACATACACATTCGGCAACCAGTCGGATCCAGATCCAAAAGCAAATCCAAAGCTCAACACTCAACAACACCTGACCAAAGAGACCCTGGCGGTCCCCTCCTCCCTTCTGCAACTGCCCTCCCCCCCCGGCGTCTTCATCCGTTTTGCGCCGCCCGTACGGCAGGTTGGCACGACATGTAGTGTACGACGAAATGACCGCGTATTACAGCGGCAGTAGGAGCGGCAGCGGCCATGGTTGCGGCGTTCTGGCCCCTCTCGCTCCCCCTCCTCCTCCTCCTCCTCGCATCGCATCGCTCAAATGAAGGTCTCCCAAAATGCTTTCTGTGGCGGTGCAAGTCGGGGTTGGTGGGTTGGTGGGTTGGTGGGTGCGGGAGAGAGGGAGAGAGGGAGAGA